ACAGAAGCAAATCCAAGCAAAAATACAGTGCCATTTTTCATATATACAGATCAATAAAGAAAAATCGAACAACCAAACATGTGTGACGGTTGGTCAAAAAAATAAAGGAAAAAATAATCCGTGTGTAAAGGGAAGACAGAGACAGGTAATTAACATAGTTGAACAGTAGAGTGAGTGAATAACTTTCAATAACCTAGAGAATTATTCACGTGACAGTTACTATTATTATTTCTTGTTGTTATCATTTTCATTCACAGATGGAGTTTTCCCATCCAATTCAATCAATACACTTGGTATATATATATATATATATATATATATATATATATATATATATATATATATAAATGATAGATGTGTCCAGTGTAAAAAGAGAATTATTCTCAGGCATCTTTTCAAAAATGACTAAACTGCATATGATTTAATAAGTCCTAACTATAGCACTAGGATGACAATATTCAGAGGAGAGATGCTTTTTCAACGAATTCACTCCCGATTGACAAAAGGGTTACCTATCTACCTAGTGAAACTATTACAAAAAAGGAGACTTAAGCATTTGCAAACACTGTCATGTAGTCATCGCGTCATCTTGAATGTAAAATTCAATCCCAAACAAGCTGGATTCAGGAGAAACTAATCATGTGCAGGTCAAATTGCAACGCTACGCAACATTATCGAACACAAGACAGAGGGGTTACTGGACAAAGAATATTCTTTCCGATAACTTGCTCTTCATCAGACTCTACAGTTATATGCATCCACAATAGTGAATGAATTAGTGTTATTAACAACATTAATGTTGTTTAAATAACATCGAATCAATGGTAATAATATCAATGGATTACAGTTCGACAGCATCAACACAACAATACGCACTGAATATCAGAAAAAATTAGGAAAGATAATAATGCCAATTCATGAATTTGTAGTCTCCACTGAAGACGTGGAGCTTTCTTTCCTAAAAGTCAAGCATGACAAAAGCAGTTAGTCGAACCGATTTATTGCTAAGGACACTGAAGACAAACATTCTTAACCGGTCACTACGTCAGTTCTAGAGAAAACCAACTTCATAAATCTGGAATTCAAAGATGATCACGCTTCACGTATGCTTAAAAGTCGTCTTTCTAAATCAATTAGTAAGACATTCTTTACAGTGAAACACCAGCTGTTGATTAAGGTGTATATTAGCTTGTTAGAAATGCTTTGGTTAAGTCTCTGAATCATATAGGAGGACTGGCTTAACATAAGTGTTGGAAATCCGAATCTTGTTCCTTATTCTGAGTGCAGCAGATTTCCACACTGATTTCAGAGTAATGAAGGTCTTCTGTCTTGCTGTTTTTCCCATCTTGTCCTTGACATCCTCATCCGTAAGCTCTGCCTGTAGCTGGAACAGCGCTGTCCTAATAATAGTAAGAAATGACACCGTTCAAATTTCCTCCTTGATAGTGATTGGTACTTTGTGTTGTTGATTGATTATCTTCAACCAACCTCTGCCTTCTCTAGATATCTTGTCTTCGCTGCTTCTTCTGCTATGTTTGTTTTTGTCTTCGAGTCTGTGTGACACTAGACATCAATCATCCACAAAGTCCAGCTCTTCTAAAGACGACGGTATTTCAGAGTGTCCCATATCATCATCACTCTTTAATTCCATTGGTGTGTGATGAGATAATAGGAAATAGTGAATCTGTACGTGTCGCACACAAACAGAGTAATACTTGTAGTTCTACAAATTTTATGAACGTCAAACTTCATAAGTCTGAATTTAAGAGTGACACTGCGAGTGAGTGAGGTACTTAAAATACGACTGATGAGATCATTGAGAAAAATGTTCTTTGCTACCACTTCACGAATCACCTCTTCTAGCCGTCCACTAGTGCACCTTAATGTCAAGGAAATGTCACCACGATTGTCTAATTCCATGTGTATTTATATGTCCACCTGCTCTTGAAGAGATAGGTACATAAGACGTTTGTCAAGAAATATATCCCGCCACCGCGTTCGAGGGCACCTCCCAGTTTGACTGAGGAAAGGAGAACGTAGAGGTATTAGTTCATTCATATTGCAATATATTGTAGATACTGACCACGACACAGCATCTCACACATCGTTCAATATAGTCTACAAAGTCCAACAAAATCTGCCGAAAGGGACACGAGTGCATTCGCTTTGTATAGCAGAGGCTTTGGCAATACATAACGTAACATAAAGCCAGAACTTTGTGCACAAAAACAATTTGTACGATCTCTTTCGTTACCACCCCATTGGTTTGGTTTTACTATATAATCGACATAACAACTTTGTTATACTTATTTATTCCATGTTCCATTTTTGTTTTATTTCATTTCAATTAATGTTATCATATTTTAACACTTTATCTAGTCTACTATTTTGACATTTCACTCATCCTATTTTTCCATATAACCTCGCCTAGATTACTAGGTCACTAGTATTCTAGCCGGTCCCAAGCCCGGATAAAGAGGGAGGGTTGGGGCGTGGTGCTAGCAACTCCACCCCCAAAACTTAACCAAATTGCTACGACAACCTGGCTACTGAAGCTGAGAAGGCAGCAGGCAAAAGGGACCTGAGGACACTATATCAGATAACCAAGTCTCTATCCGGGAAGAGATCAACACAAGTGAAACTTATAAAAGACAGCCAAGGGAACCCAATTACCAAAGAAGAAAGACAGATTAAACAATGGGCGGACCACTTCAAAGGACTCTTGAACCGACCACCACCTACAACCCGTCCAGAAATACCAACAACAGCACGTACACAACTGCAAGTTGACACCAATCCTCCAACGAAAACTGAAGTCATGAATGCAATCAGGCTTCTGAAAGCTGGAAAAGCAGCTGGACCAGATGGAATACCCCCTGAAGCACTGAAAGCGGACCCAGAAACGACGGCAGATATGCTGACTCCATTATTGCAAAAGATCTGGAAAGAGGGAAAGTTGCCTACTGACTGGAGGAAAGGTTACCTGGTGAAACTACCAAAGAAGGGCGACCTGGGACTCTGCAAGAACTGGCGAGGAATCATGCTCCTGTCGACGCCAAGTAAAATCCTGAGTCGCATCATCCTGGAGAGAATCAAGGACGCACTGGATACAGAACTCCGACCAGAACAAGCTGGATTCAGGAAAGGCAAATCATGTTCTGACCAAATTGCAACTCTACGCATCATCATCGAACAAAGCATGGAATGGCAATCAAACCTCTACCTCAACTTCATAGACTTTGAGAAGGCCTTCGACAGCGTTGACCGAGAAGTAATTTGGAAACTACTCGAGTACTACGGCGTACCCCAAATATTCATCAATCTTATTCAACAGCTGTACGACAACGGCACATTTCAAGTGATCCACAACGGAAAACTCAGCGAAGCGTTTGGAGTAAACACAGGAGTCAGACAAGGGTGCTTATTATCACCAATGATATTCCTAATTGTGGTGGACTGGATTATGCGTCAGACAGTGGGAAACGAGAAGACAGGGATATCCTGGACCGACGTGAAGAACCTAGAAGACCTGGATTTCGAGGATGACTTATGTTTGATGTCACACAAAATCGAAGACTTACAAGCGAAAACCGACAAACTGGTCGAAGAAGCAGCAAAGACAGGACTCCAGGTGAACATAGACAAGACGGAGGTCATGAAAATAACCAACCAACAACAGCAGCAATATCCAGTGCCAATCACCATCAACGGGAGGGATTTGAAAGAGGTTACTTTAGTCACTTATCTAGGGAGCATTGTCTCAACCACAGGAGGGACGGACGAGGATGTCAAATCGAGAATCGGGAAGGCGAGAAACACATTCATCAACCTGAAACCAATCTGGAAATCTTCGTCACTCAGCATCAACAACAAAGTTCGGATTTTCAATACAAACGTGAAGTCAATTTTGCTTTACGGATCAGAAACTTGGCGGGTCACAAAGAATATTTTCAAAAGGTTGCAGACCTTTATCAACAACTGTCTTCGCTCCATACTGAAGATTAGATGGCCGGAAAGAATCACCAACAAGAAGCTATGGGAACAAACGAAACAGGAACCAATCGCCCAACAAATATGCAGGAGGAAGTGGAGATGGATTGGACACTCGCTGAGGAGGCCGTTGACATCGCGCGTCAGGCCCTCGAGTGGAACCCGAAAGGGGAGCGGCGAGTGGGACGTCCAAGGGTGAAATGGAGGAGATCGTGTGAGGAGGAGATGAAACAGTATGGAATAACATGGACGCAAGTGAAAAGTACAGCAGAAGACAGAAGCAAGTGGAGACGTGCAGTTGAAGCCCTATGTTCCACTAGGAACCCAAGGGAACAATAATAATAATAATTTTTCCATATTATATTCACATTTCCGAATGTACTTCATTTATTTATTTTTTTTTCATTTTTTATAGTTGGTTTGTAAGGATTAGTTTTGTTTCCACGAGTTGGTCACGGATTGATATCAGTTAGAGAACCATTGAAAACCATCACTGGAGTACTGGACAGACAGCTGTTTCATCCTAGTTTGGGAATCATCGACAGTACGCACCTACTGCCAGGGTTTGAACCCAGGAGCTTCCGATTACAAGGCAAGCTCTTATATCATTCAGTCACTGGGACCCGAATCAATGCTCAGCCCATGAATTCTAACTTCTACCAATTCGTGATTTTTTTTTCACACATGTTACAGCAGACATCAACAATCAGTTCTATTGTGTGTGTGTGTGTGTTTAGGTCTGACAGTGAATGTAAATACTAAAGTGCTATAATAATATTGATTTATAGGATTATGAGCCACAATTGAATTCATTAGATATGTGAATGAATAACTGAATAAATAAATAAATAGAGGTCAGCCTAATGTTCAATAAATAGACGGCATAAGTGAAATAGATGATCATCGGAAAATAAAGTACCATTCGGAAATGTGTAAATGAAATCGTTGAAAAACGCGAATTCTGTTCAGTGGATTATAATGTATTAGAAAATAAATAAAATTCTACTCACCTTAAATATGGATAATCTGGTTGATATTTAACTGGCATGAATAATAAGCTAATACGTTGAAACATTTGTATACCATACATTGATGATATCCCCATGAATAAAAATATACCATAGAGTACAGGCATCGGAATACGCTATGAAAATAATTGCAAAAAAAGACATAACTTAGAGGAAAAAAGCGGAGATGGATAAGGTACGGTATTATTTTTCTCTGGTTGAGATTTCCACGTATAAATTTGCACACACACACAAATGCAACAGTGTTCAAGTTGTCATACTACATAAAAAAGCACGTACGTAAAGGGACTATTATAATATGATTAGGAATATGATATAGAAGAAGGAATAAGTTTATTTATCACTATATATACTCTGGTACTTACTGATAACAATGGCGTCATAAATACAGATAGGCCAATGAATAAGAATATCAATACTCCAGTGACACGTTGTTCTCTAAAACAAACGAAAATAAAAATAAAAAAGTAGGAAATATTTTTCAATGAAAAATGATCAAACAAGAAATGAAAACAAGGGAGGTGTTTTTGTTGTTGCTCAGAGTCACTGATAGAGTCCAGCTGATGGAGTACACGCGTGTGAGTGTGTGAAGAAGTACGATCGACTTCTGAAACTTGGGAATAGAACATACACACTGAAGAGAAACGCATTCTATAGTGTAGTAATTATTTAAATCATATTTTCTTGATGTCATACGTTACAGACTACTAACACTAATAAACTTTATGGTTACAGGCCTGGCCTGGTTATTCAACAGATTGTGAGGAGGGAGAGAGAGAGAGGAAAAGATCTGGATCTTATGGTTGGTCCTAATGCAAAACAATCCTGAAGATCTGTAGGCGAAAACCAACAAGTTGGTAGAAGAGATGCAGAGAAGATAGGACTTCAGCTGACCATAGATAAGACAGGTGATGATGAAGACACATCCAATTTAAAAGTATCAATCATCATGAGTGGGGGTGGGGGGAATCTGAAAGAAATCGTCTCTTTCACTAAACTGACCTAGACAGTGGTACAGTGTCAACTGAAGTCATGCGGCACGGATGAGGATGTCGAAACAAGACTGAAAATCTACACCACTTACTATGGGGAACAACATGTGAATTTTTACTACTATTGTCAAGATAGTGATTTTATATTTTTCAGAGACTTGACACGCAGGTTGCTGCAGACTTCTACTAACAGCTTCCTTTAATCAATATTACTGAACATCTGGTGGTCGGCCGAAAACGACAAGCAAAAAAGAATGCTGGTAGGCAGAGAATCAGCCAGAAACCACCTACTGAAAAACCAAAGCCAAAATATACGCAGAAGGAAATGGAGATGAATTAAACGCACGCTGAGATCATTAAGTGAAATCACACACACACACACACCAGACAGACAATAGAGTAGAACCCAAATGAGAAGCGATGCGTTCGGTGTGGGTCTGAGAATGAAATGAAGGAGACCATTTGAAGAGGAACTGTCCTTATTCATTTCGCACTGTATGTATAGTACAAGCCTAAGGATGGTCGGGGGTGGGTGCCTTGCGCTGCGGGTTGGCCACCCCTCCACACACCTCTTGAAATGCTCCCATATGACCGGGCGTCTCACATAGCCTCTCCTGAGGAAGTCCTACTCACTGCCTTCACGTGGCGGAGGTGTTTTTCACCAAAGTCAGAGGGCGAAAGCGGATGCCCGGCGCTCTTCACAGGGTTGACTGTCCATTGGATGACAGTCTAGGGGAGATGGCTAAACCAAACCTCCAAACCTCCAACGACTGGTGTATGAAGCTCAATGGAGCTCATCGGCAGACGTATGGACAAAGGGCTTGTTGGATGTCCTGGATGTCTGGCCCCATTCAAAAAGGCGTATGAACCGAACTCCGGTCACCGGCTGCCAATGGATAGTGGACTCCCTACTCCACTCCTACTGCTTTGTAGGTCACACTTGGTTGTGTAAAGGCGAGAGCTGCACTCTCAAACAAAAGGCTGAGCGATTCTGGGGACATCACTCGTACCAAATTCCCATGAAACTTCATGAACTCTCTTACAAACGACTCTATCGCCGCGCCTGGGCAGCGATGATTCGAGATGTTCATGAAGCCGGCTCATCCTCCCGTAGGAGAAAGCCGTAGTAGAGTAAAGTAAGTATAGTACTCAGATGAGTAGGAGTTCTATTGAAATTTAGTGAATTCATTATACCTTGCTTTGTCAAACATTTTCTACTGATTTTAAAGCGTCAAAGTTTTATCCCTCACTACAAGAACTGCCACATGTGCGAAAGGTAGGATTTGATATTATTTGCACTTAAAATTATGTTCGCACTGTTTATTTATTATCTGTTTTATTCCTATGCGTTCCGAGTGAAATTGAAGTTTCAATAGCAGTGGTGTTTTTGTTTTCTACAAGGTGGGGGGGGGCACCAAACACACTAGCCCCACACCCAATTTCCTCCCTTTACCGGGATTACCACCAGCTACGCGAAGTTTAGGGGCAAGTCAGTCGGGGAATATGTGCGTAGTTGGGCAGTATTCCACAGCTGAGCCGACGACCCTCAATCTTCCAATGTTAGAAAACATCAACAAAGCAGGTAAATTCAAATTAGAAGTCATGACCTCATACTACCCTAAAAAAAAGCTTATTTTAACCTCACCCAGAAAAATATCAACAAGTACAAATAAAATTTTGTACAATTTCATGTTTGATAATGGGTTTTTCATCTCATTTCAGACTCCTCAGCCTAATACATTTGCATTTCACGTCAGTGGCTGTTAAGGTATTCCTACCGAAAATTGAGCCTACCGTTCATCATTTCAAACAACAAGATGTTATTCTTCACTAGACTACACATGCACAAAGAACACACACACACCCAACTGACACAGTATCTTGACAGAATCCTCAAAACACACAGACCCAATCAATGAGTCTATTATAGACACACACACCCGTATGTGTGCATTAGCCTGTCACTCAATGTGAACGGATTTCTGTGCAACGGATACGATATGATCGAATGGCCCACTACTAAATCACAAGTTATGAGCTCGTATGTCTCGAATACGAAAGTGATCATTTTCAGTCAGAAAGTATCAAAAAGTCACAAGCGCAACCACACATTACATTCAAACAACCGAAATAATAATAATGATAATAATAATAATAAAAGAGGCCTGTACTTACCTACAACCTAAATAAACTGGTCGTTCACCTGGAGCATTTGTTTCTGATTCTTTTTTCAATGATAATACATGATTAATTGATAGGACAGTAGCTGCTACAAACCATGGGATACCAAGTATTGAATTGCTTAATATTGTTAGTGATACTACTAATAAATCTAAATGATACCCGGCTCCTTTCTAGAAAGATAACATAAGTAAAACGACAATAACAAAACAGAATGAGAAAGATACAGGGAATAGATAGAATTCACACAACAATAGCAACTGACAAGCGTTTTCAGTCAAATATAGTATATGATATCAACAGTCAGTCTTCATCCCCGTTGGTGGTGGTCCTAGTTGCTTAAGGCGTATTAGGATCCAAGCTGAATGACAGTGATCAGAGATATCTTGGAAAATACCTATGAGAACGTTAGAGAACAAGTGCTTTCACATGGATATTTTCCATGATTCACAACGGAGAAGTCGGCGAAACGTTTGAAGTGAAGACAGACAGGAGTAAGACAAGGTGGCCTACTATCGCCGATGATCTTCTGAATGTACTTCACTGGATCATGTTTTAGACCATAAGGGACGAAAAGGGAGGAATATATGTTAGATAGATAGAAAAAAAGACACCAGAAGATCTGGAATTAACTGATTGTTTTGATACAAGAATCAATGCAAAACAGTTGTGCAATCGTCAGATTACATTTTCACACAGATGAATGTCGCGCCAAAATTAATATACTCAAAACATGTTGGCTTAATAGGCTGTTAACAAAACTTTACATGTACACAGCCCCCTCCCAGAGGAGGTGAAGGCATACAAGGTGAATTCTTCACATGACACATTAGTCATCAAAAAACAAACTTAAATCTCTAACATGCACCACCACCACATTGATTGCTTTTAAAAACGAATGAAAAACCTTCAAATGAAACAACTAATGTTATAAACAACAACAATACAAGATGGAAAAAAAGAGGTCATACCTTTAGTTTATGTTCTCTTCGATTAACAATAACAGCTGTGATCTGTTGATCCATGAATATTAAGATGACAGCGAGTAAAGACGGTCCCAATGCAACAATAGATGTCCACCAAGGATTATTATCAAATGGAGGTACAATCCAACCACGTTTCTAAACAATCAAGTAATAACGATAACAGTAAAAATATTTTATTTAATTTTTTTAAAATTTTTGATTATGGCTTCAAACCACACAGTATTTTTGATACAAGTATGGAATTTTCAGCATATGATATCGGTAGCCCAAATTTTGCAGGCCGACCAAAGATATCCGGTGTGTGTCAGCAGGGGATCGAACCTGAGACCATGTGTATGGTCGGTGAGAGTCCTAACCGCTGTGCTACCATCGCAAGAATGTTTGTTTCATTTATGGCAAACATCCTCATTTAGATATTTAGAAAAAGAAAAAAAAAGAGTCAGAGTAAACTGAATACTCTTTTCGATGAATGAAATATTCCCATATTGAGTCATAAGAAGAAAAAGGCGTAAACAGCGAAGAGAATTTTCTTTTCGATGATTCATTTTCATAACCTGCTACACAATCATAATTGTATTTAACAAAGAATTTATAGGACCAATCACATATTGGTAAAATTCGTCCTCGGGTAAACGTATTACGCAATGTGAGGTGTAACTTAGATGGAGTGACTAACTGGAAGTTAGAAAAGAAGCAGAAGTTCGCGTGACGTAATAAGTGTGAGGAAATGACTAATCAATACAATTGTGTGGAGTGGACAAGAACCTGTGGAAAGACGATAAAGCGTTTTTATAAAATCTGTATAAAAACGCAATTTTACTAATTAACACGAATAAAGTGATAATAAAATGAGGATGATGGGAATAATAATATTAGAAAACCTACATAATAAAGGGAAGCAAAACTATAGTGGGAACGTTACTCTGGTCATGGTAGGGCAAGTGAATGCATGTGGTGCTTTTGAATGTAAAGGTCTTGTTTCAGATCCCGAACGGCCAATTTTCCAATTAGTCACTTCTTCTAGGTGACTACACTTCACATTACGTGATACGTTTTTCGAGGAAAAAATTTTACCAGTATCTGATTGTTTTTATGAATTCTTTGTTAAATATAATTACGGCTGTACAGCCTGTGAAAATGAATCTTCGAAAAGAAAATTCTCTTACGTCTTTTTCTTATAAGCTTTTGTACAAATTTCTTCTGAACACATCATTTCAGCTTCATCAGGCGGATTCCAATGGCATCAGACGTATGTGGTATGTGTAGAAGACGAACTCGTAAAACAAAATTACGAGCACTATTAGGGAATAGGATAGAGAAATTTAAAAACGCCCTGTTAACATTAACCTAAGGTAAGGTTGAGACAGAGCTGCGAAAGGACCTTGTATGTCCCTTTTTTGCTTAACTATGCTGCATGATGTCCGGAAATGTGACGATGAATATGCTTAACTGTACGGCAAATGTAACTAGCTGCATAGGAGCAATCATTGCTGCCAATGACAATTACTATATAAGAACTTCATAAGAAAGTCATCGAGAAGAGTATTCATAGCTCATTCTTTTTGTCTTATAAGGTTTCACTAAAATATTCTACCATATCGCAAGTGAAGTTAGAAAATATTCATGGGCCACTGGATTGACACTCCCAGTGGCTGAATGGTCGGCGAACTCGCCTTATAATCTAAGGTTCTGGGTTCGATTCGTCACTGTGGGTACTGTTGAAGAGATTCTTAATAACCGGGACAAAAGGGCTGTTTAGTACTTCGTGGATGGTTTTCATTAGTTCTTTAACAGAAATCGGTTCGTGACCAAACTTGAACTCATTCAGATTGTCTCATAAGAATGTTCCCCTGAAATATTTTACCATATCCCAAGTAAACTATTAAAAATTAACCATATGCTTATTTGTGCTATTTCATAAGTAGTATAAAGTTGATTTCGAAAAATGTTTTTTGGGCCTGGTGACGTGAACGGCAGAAAATAGAAGTGTTGTTGAAACCCTATGTTCCAATCGGAACCCAAGGGAATAATAATAATAATAATATAAAGAAGAAAAAAGAAGAGATATACGAATAACTAGTGCATAGTTCATTTTGATGTAAGGTTTCTCTGCAATTTGCCTTCACTGTGTATCACTTTGCAAAATGATCTCTTAAACTCAATCCGTTCAATGTCACTTTGTTAAATTTCACTTTCAGACACCAAATCATTCGTTCCTATGATTTTTGTATCATAAGAAGACACTGAAGTTGTAAGTAAGTCAAGTGTTAAATACCTTCCATTATGTTTTTCCTCTGAACTTTCCCGCACTGCTTGTTAATTTCTAGTAAAATTTTTCGTCCAACATTCTACGTGAGAAAGTTTGGACAAACTGGTATCACACTTTATCTCTACACTTAAAATTTGTTAATTCTGGTATTCCACTAATTCTTCTATATTGTTACCCTTTAATCTATCCTGTGCTACTCAGGAAGGGTACTAAAAGCTTTTGGTTGGTAAGTCGAGTGAGGTATCGCTAACCCAACTCGTTAATACTGTTGTAGACAGTGACTTGAAGGCGCACAAGAAACTGGCGAATATCATCATGTCGGGACTCTGAGCATCTTCTTTATGCACAACTCTACCCCCCCCCCCTCGCATCTCATAAGGTAGGACTAGAAGTAATCATAAAAGACTTAACGCTCGGACGGCTAGATATAAATACTCTATGAAAATTCCCCATTGTCTCAAAGGTACTGTTCGCAATAGAGCCATTATTTCTCGATAGAGAAAGAAAGACCAGATTTGCAGTGTAATGATATGATTCTATTTCACACGTTCCCATCAGCTGCAAACTACCTGAAATTACAATGGTTATATAGATGATAATAACATACTTTAATGTTTAAGTGGTGGTAGAGAAGAAATACCATAAAACTGACGCATTCAAAATGTAAGCATTACAATAAAAATTAGTTTACGTTCTCATCATCAATTTATACGCTTACCCTGGGGTAAGACAGAAAACAGACAAAAAAAGCTAACACTTAATTTTTCTGTTTTCTGTCTCTATCAAAATTTATCAAGGGAACCGAATGTATGAAAGCTAATATTATTATTACTATTTTCGCCACGAATTCTATGTGGTGAGGAGTGTTATGCGTTAAACTACTCACCCCCTACTGCGAAACAGTAAATGAACGGCCCCTTTTATTCTTCCTATCCTATTAATATACTGTTGTCACTATTTCTACTTTATTTTTTATTTTACATTTGTGTTTTTATTGACACTATTGTCAATGTAATGCCCCCTTAATCATCCCCCTCCCCTAACTAAGAAATGAAAGGAGAAAACCAGATGCAATACTCCACGAAATCTACAATGAATGATTTATGATGATGAGAAGCCAACGAAATAAGCAATGATGGTACCATATTAATCTGCACAAACCACTGTTGTTCTTGCTTTATTCAAATTCATCAAGGGGAATAAATGCATGAATACATTTAATATCATCATATCACTCTTAAAAGTGCTCATTTTGTATATTTTAATAGTCAGTGCTCAACTTTTAATCACTTTTTTTATCAAGTGAACAGTCAACCAACTTTCATCTCAACGATTAAAATAATAATTCATGTTATCTATTTGCGCGACACATTTCAAACAATCTGATCACACACGAACTTGTTATAGGAATATATATATGAAATTAATAAGAGGTGAGAGAAATTTAGGTCAAGTTAAGAGGACATATTATAGAGACAGGACATAAAATTGACGTCAACACATCTTTTACACCTATCTATAAAACGTGTTTGAAGGAGAGCGTATCCTAAAGTTTGTGGAAGCCATAGCTGTCAATTAGGAACTTTAAAGCACCTTTATGCGTTCAAAAACAATTCGTCATCACAATAAACCTTCCTTGGTAAACTTTGTTTTGATACCATTGCAGATGTACTATTACCTCTATTATTTGGTTCAGTGATCTTCATTGTTAATTTGACCTTCAATATGTCCTTTTAACTTGACCTAAGTAGTCTATTTTCTCGCCTCTTAACTCTTTATTAATTTCATATATATTCCTATGACAAGTCCATGTGTGATCAGATTGTTCGAAATGTGTATTGCGCAAATACACATTACACACGATTCAGACAAATTACATCTTCTTGTTGCTTTGTCTAAATGCATATAGAGAACTAATTGTTTTTAATAATTTTCATCTTATGAAATTTCAAACTCATACTACTACTTATATTTTGTCGTGGGTGCTTATGTCACCATTCTTTTAACCTTAGAAACCAAAGCGGAGCAATTGTGTTGATAATGTGAACCTTCCTCCCATAAAACTCATATTACTCACTGATAGACTGCTATATGTCTTTAGTGAATGTAAATGTTTTGATTGGACACTAGTTGGTAACTAATGCAATATAAAAGAAAAGAATGGGGATTTTCAAGTTACTTAAACTAATGTAATGTGTCTAGTCTTTTGTTTGATTGCAGACTGAATTCTATCACAGTGAAGTTTGCAGTGTGGCCCCCATTCTAGGTGAGCCACCATCACAATCCACCTTAAATTGTTGATATTTGATGGTTGGAGGCAATCGTCAGAAAGTCTTCAACCGTCTCCTCAGCGTATATCCAATCCATATCTCCATCTTCTGCGGCAGATTTGTTGGTTGGACAGCTATAAGGTTCTACGTTTATTTGTCGCCAAAATTCCCTCTTGCAAATCCCTTCTGCCTGGTCACATCTGATCTTCACAGTATGCGACGAAAGCAGCTGGATTGACCACAGCACTGGGCGGCAAGGGTACGAATCTCAGAGGGGACATGAGAGCTTTAGGCTTCAAGCCCCGAAGTTTCTGTAGCGACAGTGTTGTCTCCTCTTACAAGTGGGATTTCGTCTTCAAGTCTAACCTCACCTCTTGTTGGGCTCACACTATTAGCTAAAGAAGTAGGCGATATTTGGGAATTTGTCGGCTTGGAATCGAACCCGTAACTCTCTCGTAGTTTGAACCATCGCACCACCGATGTGCAGTCTCTGGTTGAAAGATGATTGAGGGTCACAGGTAGAGTACACCGTGATGACGAGCCACCTAGAATGGTGGCCATATTGCAAACTTGACTGTGATAGAATTCAGTCTGCACCAAACAAAAACCTAGACACATTACACTAGTTAGTAACTAGTATGCAATGGAAGTATCCAATGCAGTCCTACAGGAGGTCAATTGTGAGCCCGAATAGCTCGGTAGTAACTTCTCTGACTGACTGCAGCACTAGGTGACGCAGATATTAGAGGGGATATGAGTCTCTTTAAGGTTGCGAACACGCCTTGCTGACGAGTGCTAACTAGCACGAATCCTAGGTCCAAAGCTTCCTGCCGATCACCTGCAACCATCCTATTATCAAATCCAAATATGACTGATTATACAGCCTGGTGACTAAGACAAGATTCTCTTCACTAAGTAGTCTTTTTTCTCATCCCCTTTGCGTTCTGAGTGAAACACATGGATTCAATCTTTGAAATTTTATCAGTGGTAGTGTTGTTTCTCTTAAAGGAGTGTAGTTGCTAAACTCATACGCTCAACCTTACTTCCTTTTCAGATTTACTAACGACTAGTGAACTAGGAGGGGTCAAGTATTGTACCGGTGGCTGGGAATCGAACCAGAACCACGCACAGCATGGCTGCCAAGCATCCTACCACTGATGTACCACTCTTGAGGTGCTATGGCTCACTCTAAAATTAAATATCATATGTAAAGTGTTTAGTGGGCGGAATATCCTTGTTAGGAGTTACTTAGATGAGTTAATAGAAAAATAAAATCAAGTTCCGAAATGAACAATTACACGTATAATAAAATAACATGACAAATATTTTGAATTTTCAAGAGTTGGTCTGTGAGGATTAAATTTGTTTTTACGAGTTTGACCACCATTGAAAAGAAGGGAGTACTGGACAGCTGTTTCATCCCAGTTTGGGAAGTTAGAATTCACAGGCCATTGAATCGGGTCCCAGTGGCTGAATGGTATACAAGATTGCTTTGTAACCAGAAGGTCCTGGGTTCAAACCCTGGGAGTGGGCGCGTACTGCTGATAATTCCCAAACTAGGATGAAACGGTTTTCTGTCCAGCACTCCCTGGTTTTCCATAGTTCTCTAACTGATATCAATTCGTGGTTAACCTGGTAAAAGCAAATATTCTGAAGATAAGCCATTCGATGGTGTAATGATTGTTTTTTACATCCACATATATGCTCAATGAGAAGCAATGTTGACATAAATCAACATAGACAAAAATGAAAGAAATCAAATCCTCTCTTTGTAAACTACACAACTTGAAGTGACAATTCCCCCTTGAACTGAAAGTTAAACCACCACTTACATCGCTTATAAGCAGTTCCGCTTTAAACCGTCCAAACGGTCATCCAATGGCGTACATAAACTCGATCTGGTGAGCAAATCTACTGAAGATTGACTACTACTACTCATATCGATCAGTAGTACATACACCAGCATACAAAAAATGAACAGAACTAAACATGAATCAGAAATGGTCGCAAATATTTATTTTTCGGTATTTACTATCCCAGTTTTTCACGAAGTATGTGGTGTCACTGCTATTTCTCAACTTTATCTATAAGGGTCGACACAGTTCAGTGATTTCATGGGATTCCTGCTGTCCAAGAAGGCCTTGCCCTCCGCAAAACAACAAGAACATAAACATATACTACTACTACTATTAACAATAATAATGATAATAATAATACGGCAACTTACACTGTAACCCAATGTTGGTTCAAATGTTGTTGGCACTAATAACTTGGGTGTGTGTAAATTCAATAAGAAGTCGGTTGTAGTGCCGATGGCGATAGCTAAGACAACTGAGAAGTCTGATATTAATGACCGCACCTAGAGAAATTGGCAAGAGCAAACAAAACAATATACAAACATACTAACAACAAAAGGTGTTGTAATATATATATATATATATATATATATATATATACGTTAGATTACCTGCATGTCAATAGTTCTTTATCAACCTTGTTCAACGGCTGGCTATACGACAATGCCTGCCAGGTGTCAAGTGATCCACAACGGAAAACTCAGTGAAGAAACCTTTGAAGTAAATACAGGAGTAAGACAACGTTGCCAATCTACTATAACCTACGATGATATTCCTATTTGTGGTGGACTGCATCATGCCACAAATTGGACGTGGGTAGAGCGAAGACAGGAATATATTGTACTGACCAATAAGAAGGCTCTAGAACACCTGGATTTCGTGCGTGGGTGATTTATGTCTTATGTCACACAAACTCGAAAACAAAAAGGCAAAAACCGACAAACTAGCTGAAGAAGCGAGGCAGACAACGAAGACAAGACTCCAGGTGAACATAGAGAAGATGCAGGTGATAAAGATAACCAACAAACAGCAACAACAATAACAAAAACCGGCAACAATCACCATCAACAGGAGAAACCTGAAGAAAAGGTAACTCCCTTCACTCATCTAGGAAACATCGTCTTAACTACAGGCAGTCAGCACGGATGAAGATGTAAAATATATACACAGTAGAAAAGGCAAGATACACCTTCGTCAATCTCAAATCGGTTTAGACACCTTCTGCACTCCGCCTCACCATAAACAACAACATTTGGATTTTCAAAACCAATGTCAAGTCAGTCAGTTCTTCTATATGGGTCACATTACAGACTTCTATCAACAGCTGGCTCTATATTGAAGATAAAATGTTCAGCCAGCCAGCCAGCCAGTCAGAAAGAATTAACAACAAGAAACTCTGTGAACTAACTAACCAAGAAACTATCATTCAAAAAATATGTAGAGGAACATGGAGATGGATTGGGAACACACCACTGAGGAGACCGTCGAATAACATCGCACACATTGCAGGCCATTACTCGAGTGGAGTCCGAATGAGAAACGACGAGTTCGGAGTGTATCTGATGGTGACATGGAGGAGATTGTGTGCGGAGGAGGAGATGAGAGATTATGGCCAACTGAGGTCCCGGCTGAAGATGATGGCAGCAAATGGAACAAAGTGGAGATGTTTTATTGAAGTCCTATGTTCCACTCGGAACCCGAGGGCACAATAACAATAATAATAACACTAATGTTAGATGGTTAGAGGAAATCACCATGAATCCCTGGATATAGGTTGTGTGCTTAATCGCACTTGTCAGCAAATCACCTGCACAACTGACTGGTGGAATTTAGTCACTATCACTAAGGACGAGAGAAGGATATAACACTGATTACTCTCTAGTGACTAATCAGTATGTGTGTTTGTATATATATTGAAGCACTAGAACAGTTTATAGAAAAGTAGGTAACAGAAAAACGGAGTTCTCTATATGCAAAGAGAGTGATGAACACACTGATATGTCATATTATTCTCAGGAATCAATCTGAAGGACAGGTATTATATGTATTGATCCTACTTGCCTACGGCTCTAAATCTACACGTCAAGTAAGAATGTAGGGAGAGAGAGAAAAAATTAACGTCAACTATCTTGAGAATTTAAGAACAATGCTCGGAAGCACACCACAGTTGAACAACTTAACAAACTCCATAAAGCCCATAAAGGTCGATAAAAGAGCGAAAATTTACAAATAGAAGAATGAGGATATAATGAATGTTCGAGATTTTAAAAAAGAGTGAATTCATCTGCGCCACTGAGAATAATTTTGAGCCATATTGTCGTCTCCGATAATTGCTGGTTCTTAGCGTTTCAAGGACCAGACCAAATAGGCATTCGATACCTCGATTCTTATGTGGTTGGCTCCAACCAACAGTCAAAAACATCATGGATTGGTAACAGGTTTTCCTTTGACTAACTTTGACCCTTCCCCAACCTAGTCTTGAGTCAACCAACACTGCTCAACGAGAAAGGTGAGGTCTGTGAGCATGCATGTCCTAGCCACCTTTAACCAATGTAACTTCACAACCAACACATTCCACGAAATTCCTTTTCTACTTAAGACTCTACGCTATACCCGATCAATATTACGGACCATATTAGAATGGGAGGTAGAACGCAAAAGTAAATTTGATATAGCTCAAATGGTGACTCATTTTTAAGCCTGACTACAGAAATGTGTGCTAGGAGTTTTGCAGCTTTCCAAGCGTGAGTTTACAAATTCAATCCACGCATTATTTTTATTACACTATAATGGTAGCAAAGGTGGTCTATAATTGATTATTGAGTATTGATTAAGACTATTACTATTATCGATCGATTGGTTACATGAAAAAAGGACTAGTTAGTTAACATTTTGCTTCATGATTGACTTATCAGCCTTATTATTCAGTTTCCGCCTGGCTTGAAATTGCAATACAAGCTAAGGACTTTCTTAAGCTAACCGCATAACATTCATACACTCATTATTCAATTTTTCAAACAAATGAAATACGTAGAGGTGGTTTATTTAGATAATAAATCGAACAAAACGATCAATTGTTAGTAACGCTATCTGTGATAGGCTTATATTGGCAATCAACACATTGTCGGTTCAGTTGGAATCCTTCAGAAAGCATCACCTTTCATTGCGTAAGTGAAGTATCAATTGTACTATTATAATTATTATTGTCCCCTCGGGTTCCGAGTGGAACATACGACTTCAATGAAACATCTCCACTTTGTTCCATTTCCTGCCATCCTCTTCAACCGGGGACACAGTCGACCATAATCTCTTATCTCCTCCATGTCACCATCAGATACACTCCAAACTCGTCGTTTCTCATTCGGACTCCACTCGAGTGATGGCCTGCAATGTGCGCGATGTCATTCGACGGTCTCCTCAGTGGTGTGTTCCCAATCCATCTCCATGTTCCTCTACATATTTGTTGAACGATAGTTTCTTGGTTAGTTAGTTCACAGAGTTTCTTGTTGTTAATTCTTTCTGACTGGCCGGCTGGACATTCGATCTTGAGTTCGAGGTGATGGTCGATTAAAGAGTACTATGAAGTGATCAGTCCACTAGTTTATTTATCTGTCCTCCTTGCCAATTAAGCTACCTTGACCATCTTTCATAGGTTTCACCTGCTTTGATATTTTCCCGGAGGGAGACCTGATTTTCTGAAATAATGTTCTGAGGTCTGTTTTACCTACGGCCCATCTGTTCTGCTTCAGTTGTCAATGTGTTATAGAAGCGGCTTTTGGCTTTCTTGTAATTCTTCTTCACTTCTTTATTCAATACGACGCACACTGAACTCAGCTTCTCCTTCTGTTGACCATCTTTGCATTCAGTCATATTCTCGTTCACTGTCCTCCTCTCTTCAATCAGTTTGCAGGTGCCCGTGAGAGCAATTCCTTGTCTTGCCTCTTGTTTTTTCGTAAAACGGTGGTACACCACCTTCAGAGAGTTCCACACATGTTTCCTCAGTGAGGCGCTGTAGTACCTCCGATTTCGCTCTTATCTGATCTGTAGCGAAGACATCCCTTGTAGTTTTGTCGTACAGTTTCTGAATGTTGAACTTTGCTTTGAAGGATTTCAGATTCACCTTGAAGGTTCCTTGAGCTAGTTGATGGTTTGAGGCCACATCTGCTCCCCTTCTCAACTTTGTGTCTAGCAGACTGCGTCTCCACTTCGTTGAGCAGCATTGAGAGGAAATGAAAAAATGGGGGTAATAGTCTTAGAGCCAGTTTAAATTGATTAGCAGAGGATCGAATGTAACTGAGACGCATCGCTGAAGCTCTATGGCCCACTTCGCCACCTGGGCTGGGGTAAACAGTCTGGCTGGGATCATCGACAGGCCTGAGACTATTAGTCATACTGTGGCATGTGCTACTGGCAAGATTTATCAGTAGAATATAAAGAGACCTTGATTGACGCAAAAGTATCAAATAGTGAAGAGATAGATTTGACGTCAAAGAGAAGAAATGAATCAGTATTGGAGGTAAACACATGGGAGACAAGAAACGAAGACAAACAAACACAATACGAAGGACAGAAGTAGTATAACAACACGGAAGATCTGTGCAAATGACGATTGCCTGTTTGTCTGTCTATTTTCGACATAGAACTTTGCACATATATGCGGCAGCTCAAGTTGCCACACTCCATGTAGCACACAAAGCAAGAGAAGAAAGTAGAAGAAATGCAAAATAGCGACAGTAAACAGAGGTGTGAGACAAAGGAATAGTAGTAACCAAGAACGACATAGTTTCATTTGAAATCATAAGTCACAAGGAGTGGATGCATCTGCGCCACTGAGAACGATTTTGAGCCACATCACCAATTGTTTCCAACCATTGGTTCTTACCGTCCCGAAGACCCCAACCAGTCAGGAAGTCTACACCTTCCTACGTGGCCTAGACTAACTGTTGTGGATTTCATTGACTGGTGCCATTTTTTCGTTTGACCGCCGCTAGCTCTTTTCCAACCTGACCCTATGTCAGTTGACATTGCCCATTGTCGAGGAAGGCGATAGCTAGGCATGCGTAACACATGTCCTAACCATCTCAGTCGATGTAGCTTCACAGCCATGTTGTTTGATTTCCCCTCCTTACCTAGCACTCGACGCCTAACCTCAATATTGCTCACCATATTATTATTATAGAGGCAAAATTTTTTTTAAATATATAAAATTTTGCCTCTATATGTATGTCCAATTGCTAATTAACATTCCCTTACCAAGCTTCTTGTCTTCTATCGTTACAATATGACTCAAAATTACTCTCAGTGGCACAAATGTATTCACTCTATTTGTAATCTTTCCACCACACCACACCAAACCCATACATACATACATTTCAGTTCATTATAATTCTTTAGCATTTATTTATTTATTTATGGAGAATGTGGCAACTTGAACTGATGCAATGTGTTGTGCAAAATTCTATGTTGAAACCCAGTCAGTCTGCCAGGCAGGCGGCAGCAATTC